GGCTAACAACTCCTGCAATTCGCAACTACATCTGATCACCGCCAACCACTGATGACAACCACCTTTGGAGAGCGGAACCTACCTCCAATGGCCGATAACCACTTTTGGCCACCATATCCATTTGTCAACAACCTTTTTCAGCCACCACCTCTCGTCGATCATTGCATTCACTTGTTTTTTAAACACCTTTATTGCAAACATATATTTTTGTTTTATTTTTTACCAAAAATAAACAAAAGTATTTAATGTTTTTCGTAAACAAATAAGAAAATTGTAAATGTTACCAAATGGCCCTAGGCATATTTATATTCTTTTACAAACTTAGTTTTCTAATACAATAGAATCCTGAGTCTTGAATGGTTAGCTTATGCATTTGTTCATAAAAAGAAAAAATAGAGTTTATGTTTATATTGTCATGTTTGGTTTGTGAATCCAAACCACAGTTAAATGATTATCTTTTTCATGTTTGGTGACTATGACCTAGTCCATTTGTGTTTCCTAGGTCAAGCTTTTGTTATTTTAAAAACAAAGGGAGCAGCAGAAAGGATTATTAAGGAATTGGGTGACGGATGCTTAATGCTATCAAATGGGAGGTATGTACGTAAGACCATCTCTAAAGAGCGCCTTGTATTAGTGTAATTTCTTTTTGGCAAATGAAGAAAAGTTCATGGAGAAGTACAAGGAATAACATCCCATAATTATTCAACTTACTTGGAAATTACGAGTGTAGTAAACTCTTCCTAATTGTCTATATAAAACACTCCAAATTTTTTATCCTATAAATTTTGCAGATTCTCTTACCTCTGCTAACCCTTCTGTTTAAACACCTTAGCTTTTATATTTTTTGCCTCTGCTCCTCATACATCGAAACAAACTTCATTGGAACTGACCGTCAGTTCTCTTCCTAAAGTCCTATTTGCCACGTCAAAAAATGATCTACACACATTTGAGTGAACTACCTGTAATTCTCGGGATACTCTTCTAAGGAGTACAACATTTTATACCAATACAATCAACAAAAAAGAAAGACAGAAAAGGAGAGACGAAACAATGTACCAGAAAACAACTTCACCACAATAGTTATCCCACTGCAAAAGCATATTCTGTTAGACTTATTTATTTTGATGACTTATTTAATTATGTTTTTAATTTATTTGGAAGAGAAAAATTTAATCAAAATTTATTTTGATGATTTATTTGAAAGAGAAAAATAGAATCAAAATTTATTTTGTCCCATTATTTCACACATAAACCTTTATCCTAAATGTTATTAGAATGTATTTAATTTTTGATTAAATCGGGAGTTCAAACAACCCAAAACAAATGTTCAAACAACCTAGCACAACAGTAGGCCAAAAGGTTCAAAATGTTCAAGTGGAAGATATTCAAATTAGTAATGATGGAAGTACAACGGCTATAAAGATTCAAAAGGCCAAAAGGTTTAAGTGGAAAATATTCAAATTTGTAATGATGGAGTGGAAAATATTCAAATTGGTAATAATAAAAGTACAACGGTTATAAACGGCTATAAAAATGACTACAACGGCTATAAATTCAAATGACTACAACGACTATAAACGGCTATAATTTTCATTATATATACCAAAGCCTCTAATGTAAATAAGTTACAAAAAACTTGAAAATATTCTTTGATCTATAGTCACTCACATCTATTCTCATAAATTATATACTGAGCCTTATAGCTTTAAACTCATATTTCTAGTGTGAGGTTTACAGAAAAATCAAAGTTTCATTTTATATATCTATCTTTGAGAGATATTTATTGTAAGTTTTTTTTTAAAGTAAAAATACCATTTTATCTTGTAAAAGTGTTGCAAACACTGTGTTCTTGAAATCTTGATAGTGATTGTGAATCACCTAAGATTTGCAAAGGTTTGGACTTGTGAAGTCTGTGTAAAATCCGTGGAGGATTGCTCCATTTGTAAAGAGGTTGCTAGCACCCCTGTGAAGCTAGAAGATAGTGGAAAATCTCAAATGAAACTTGAGGAGTGGATGTAGGCTTGGTTAAAGCCGAACCACTATAAATCTGTTTGTCTCCTCTTCCCTAATCTCTTTACTTTCTTACTACTACTATAGCTATCTAATATTCATGTATTAATAATTTGATTTACCCTATATGTTAGTTATACTTCATTTTATTTTGCTTGATCATTTACTGCTAAGTTCATTATTGTGCTTGTTAATAATTTGTTGTACTATTAGTTAATTTTATTGGGGTATTATTAATTTTAATTTGTAGAAACCTAATTCAACCCCTCTTAGGTTGTTTTTTGGATAACAATCTCATTTGTAATGAATTTTTTAATTTTTGTAATAAATAAATAAAATGATTATAATTTAAATGTGACATTTTATCTTATTGAATTAAAAAGTCTTTTAGGCCTCGTTTGAGAACATGTTAATTTAGGAACTTTTTGACTATTTGGTTAAAATATGAGCTAAAAAAAACTAGTATGTTTGGGATGACTTTTTGATTTTTTACGAAAAGACTACAAAAAGTAAGAAGAAAATAGAATTGTTCACTTTTCCATATGAGTTGTTGACTTTTTATTTTTTTTAATAACTTTTTAATTTTTTAACTAAAAAAATTACTTGCCGAGGCGTTAATAATTGAAGGGTTTCAATGTAATTAGACTTTTATTTATAGTTCGGATGCGGGGTACCCGAACTTGTGTCGTCTAGCCCGTTTTGAAAACCTAGTTACGACCAGTGTCTGAGAGAAAGAGAGAGATAGATGGACGAAGAAGAGATAGAGAAAGCAGTGATAGGGGGCTTTTCTCAAACTATTTTGCATCTTATTTTCCAAACTAAGCCTAGTTTGGAAGGAATTCTCAAACTAAGCTAAAGCGCTATTACAAATCGCGCTTTCACTGTTTGGAGTCCAAAATGTGTTGAATAATGAAAGTACTATTAAAAATCGCGCTTTTAATTAGTAAAACGCTGTTGAAAATCACGCTTTTAACATAAATTTTTTTTCGAAGAAAACGCTATTTAAAATAGCGCTTTCACTATGCTTTCTTAGGAAAACGTTTAAAATATATTAAAATGTGACCAAACTAAAACACAAATGCTTTGCACCACAAATGGTAGTGTGCTTGTCTTGCCACCACAGTGGCGTGGGTTCAATCCGTGGGAATTGCTACCTTTCAATTAAGTTCAACTTTTTTTTTTTTTTTTTTTTTCACTCACTCTACACTTTATATATTTATTATGTAATTTTTTTGTCAAAAAAAAGTAAAATGTTTGTTTGGTTAGCTAAATTTTTTTTCTATAAAATACAATTTTTTTCAAAATGTCAACATGATTATTTAAAAAGTATTCAGTGTATTTGGTTTGAATTTTTTGGATTTAGTTATTTGAAAACTGAGTTTTTTTATTTTCGTATTTTTTTGTTTTTAGTGAATATTTTTAAAATTTTAAATATTTTTTTTTTAACTTTTTCAGATGCACCTTAGTTAGATATATCTAAAAAGTAAAAAAATTGTAAAAAAATATTTTACAAAATTAATAAATACATAAAAATATAAACAATATACTGAAAAAATATTTTTGTATTTTTAGTATCTTTTCAGCAAATTTTCATTTTTTTCAGCAAAATGTACTCAAAAAAATATGCACAGTGAAAGTGTATTCCAAAAATATTTTTTCAGCAAAATGTACGCTTTAAAAATATTTTAGTACATTTTAAAAGCGTACATTTTTTTTTTATTTTTTCATAAATATATAAAGTATAGAGTGAGTGAAAAAATACAAAAAAATGTACTGAAAAAATTAATACAAAATATTAATTTTTTGCAGCAAAATGTACTAAAAAAATGTACGCTTTTAAAATATTTTGGTACATTTTAAAAGTATACATTTTGCTGAAAAAATATTTTTTGAGTACGCTTTCACTGTGCATAATTTGCCGAAAAGATACTAAAAATACAAAATTATTTTTTTCAGTACATTTTTTGTATTTTTATGTATTTATTAATTTTTTTAAATTTTTTTTCACAATTTTTTTACTTTTTAAATACATCTAACTAAGGTGCATCTAAAAAAGTAAAAAAAATGTTTAAAATTTTAAAAATATTCACTAAAAACAAAAAAATACGAAAATAAAAAAAATCAGTTTTCAAATAACTAAATCCAAAAAATTTAAACCAAATACACTGAATACTTTTTAAATAATCATGTTGACATTTTGAAAAAAAATTGTATTTTATAGAAAAAAAATTTAGTTAACCAAACAAAAATTTTACTTTTTTTTGATAAAAAAATTACATAATAAATATATAAAGTGTAGAGTGAGTGGAAGAAAAGAAAAAAGAAAAAAAAAAAAGTTGAACTTAATTAAAAGATAGCAATTCCCGCGGATTAAACCCACGCCATTGTGGTGCAAGACAAGCACACTACCATTTGTGCTACAACGCATTTGTATTTTACTTTGGTCACATTTTAATATATTTTAAACGTTTTCCTAATAAAGCACAATGAAAGCGCTATTTCAAATAGCGTTTTCTTCCGAATACGAATGTACAATGAAAGCGCTATTTCGAATAGCGTTTTTTCAAAAGCGTGATTTTCAACAGCGTTTTATTAATTAAAAGTGCGATTTTTAATAGCACTTTCACTATTCATCACATTTTGGACTCAAAACAATGAAAACGCAATTTGTAATAAGTTTTAGTTTAGTTTAAGGGTTCGTTTGGCAAGAAGAGTTTGGGGCTTTTTTGGCTATTTTAGTCCCAAAAGACAAAATAGACTATTTTAGCCACAAAAAACAAAACATCATATCCAATCCATAATTATTACACTATTCTCTCACAAAAAAAGTCAAAAAAGTCAAAAAAACCAAAAAATCCTTCCCAAACCAAACTTTTTAACCCAGACTAAAATAACTAAAAAAAGTCAAAAAACTAACCTACTTTCCAAACGGTAAGAATTCCGACTAAACTATATCTAATTTAAAAAATAAGATGCAAAAGAGACTTTTGGAAAAGCCCAGTGGTAGCGTATCTGAAAAAGAAGGGTTTCAAGCAGACGGAGCTCGCTTTCCAAGAAGAGCAGCAACACCACACCAAAAACGCCTCTTCCAACTCCTCCTCCTCCACCGACCCCGACATTGCCAAACACCTTTTCTCCTTCTCCGAGTACGTTTCTCTCTACTTTTTTAAGATTTAGCTTCAAATTTTTTGAAATTTCAACTCCTGTACTGTAATTTGCTGCATATGCCTTTTAAATTTTGTTACTTTTGTGGTGTCTGCTGGTTAAATATGTATGCTTTTTACAAATTCTGGGCCTTTTGGGGGAAAAAAAGAAAATTGAAACGGTTGATTTTTTGGTATTTAGTAAGATAATTGTGATTCTTTGGTTCATACTGTGGATTTGATGTTTTGATGCATTTATGGGTAGATTATTTATTTTCAATTGGTTTTATAGTTCGTAGTGGCATTGGGTGATACTAATTTAAGAACATAATATAGATTGATATGAATTTGCTTAATATTTTTCAGTGTCAGAGAATTAACATGGTACATTTGGCATTGCCTATGTTTATGAGCAGTGGGGACTCGATGAATTTTTTTATCAGTTGTGATATTCTTATCTTTTTTTTTTTTTAGATAGGGGGCAGTTGCATGAAAGCTCAGAAGCTGCTGCAACTGAAACACTTAATTCTTAAAAAATTACAACTCCTAATAAATCAAGCAAAGCACATTTGAAAGTGCATTATATATAATTTTTTTTTTTATATTGTTATTGCAATTACTGTTTGTCTATTATCATCTTTTAAATCTTTTTATTTGATCTATATTTTGCGCATGCCATTTACAAGATTCTAGTTTTCTTTTGCTTGTTCTTACTCTGTGTTCAAGTTGGTATTTTACTGTTTGTTTGTTTATTTTGGTCCATATTTATGTTATTATTACCTTTTGCAAACTGAAATATGTTTTGGATTACACTTTTGAATTTTCCTCTTGCTTCATTTGCTGGCATTTGGAATCAGGAAAATCTTTGTTTTCCAACTACAACATAATAAATGCATTGTTACTAAGTGGACTTTGTATTTGACTAACATTGACATGGTTACCTTGTTTCTGTTCGTAGAACAAGTTAATGTGTGATGTGGGTATTATTGTCTTGACTCTTGAGTATTTCTAACATGCATATATTGCTTTTCCTCATGACGAAAAATGCTAAATGGCTATCTCCTTGTTTCGTAGATTGTCATATGCTACTTTCTGATTTCTTGTCCTTTTGGAGTGTAAATGCTTGAGTGTAATGAGTGCTTTTGCTTTCAGATCAGATAATGTTCCAGCACTGTACCATGATGGATACAGCAAGCTTAGGTCATGGACGTACAGTTCACTGGATTTGTACAAGGTAACTATTCATTGAGTTGCATGTCTTCTAAATTCATGTATTAATTTTGTGGCTTTTGCGTTTCTTTGGAAATTTTAATAGTCACTTTTCAATTGGTCTGGTAGCATATATCATATATGTGGGGATGTGGAACCTCTACCCCTTACCTATCTTGTGGAAAGTGTAACACTTGCACCTACACGAGAGAGGATGGATTGGGCCTTTCCCTTGTCCCTTTGGGTCAAAATGCAGGTAGTGTTCCTGTACCTAGCTAGTTTGAGTGATCCCCAAACCATTTCCAGTAGGGTGGCGTAGGTTTCGTGTTTTCTTGGTTATATTGTCATCATCACTCAAATGAAATATGGAAAGTTTACATGACCATAGTTAAAATTCTATGTAACAGACACTTTGACACAGATGGTTGTTTGCATTGTCAATTTTTGGACTAGTTATTGTAGTACAAATTTGGTGCCTGCGGCATTGTTTGAGGTGCATTTCCCATTCAAACCATCGTTGGACATGCCATTGGCTTGTAATAACACCTCCATTCTGACTCCCTGTCCCAGAACACCTGGCTATTTCCCAGTCACCAATTTTTTACTTTCATAATTCTCCAAGTTTCTTCCGGTGACATTAACTCAAAAAGGAAGAAGGCCCCATTGAGCTCCATTATGAAAACTCATGTTGGTACCATCCACTGCTTATCCACATATGCTTGAACAACCTTCTTCTCTGTCAGCAGCAAACCCATCTGCCAAAGGGGCCCACTATGCAACTCTGTAAACATGAGATCAAACTTCTTTACGAGAGGATTCCCCCACTACAGCAACACAATCTCTCTTCAAACCCTTCAACACCCTAATAATATAAGTTTCATGCATTATCATAAAGTTAATCTCAAATTCTCAATCACTAGATTTGTTCACTGGGTGCATGATCAACTAGACATATCGCAATCCTAATGCGTCACACATTTAGAAGAGAAGAGTCTATGTAACAAAGGTTAAAACTATTGAACTTTTATTTCACAGTAACTTTTTGGACTTTTATTTAACCAACTCAGAAATTGTTTCCTAAATTCCTAATATTGCAACTGGTGTACAATTTCATTTCACCTGAATATGGCATAGTTTACCCTTGCAAATACAGATTGTTCATCGATTTTATTTTACTTAGTTAAATAATCCGACCAAGTGTCGTCTATTGATTTGATCAGAACTTAATGTTGTGACCTTCTGAATCCAATCAAGCTAAGTTATTTTTATCACTTTATGAAGTTCTTTTTCTAGTATACCTAACTTATATTCACTTGGCATTGTATTGTAACAATGCAACATGAGTTAATCCGTGTCCTCTATCCAGTATTTGTCCATTGTTTCATGGATCTTGTGGCAAAAGGTCATATTCAAGAAGTTATGATTCAGAGTTGCTGTGTTTCAAACTATTCTCTGCCTTAGGCTGTATGCTGTCCAAATCAGCCCATTTATGCGGCAAGTATGTTGAACTTACTATTGATACCTATGTCTGAATCTTTAGCTCGAAATTTTTTCAATAGCTTTCGCGAAGACCACGAGACGATGCACTTATGGGACCTCCAGAAATTGGAAGGAGTTCTTTCTCTGTGTCATCTGGAGGTTAATTACTATATTAGTCTTCATGTTACATTTTGCACTTATGAAATGGGGTTGGAAGACATAAAACTTATTACACATTTATCCTCGTGCAAGAGGGTGTGAATCAAAGCCCGAAAGTCTAAATTTATTACAAAACCGAATGAAGCTCGAAATTTTTTCAATAGCTTTCGTGAAGACCATGAGACGATGCACTTACGGGACCTCCAGAAATTGGAAGGAGTTCTTTCTCTGTGTCATCTGGAGGTTAATTACTATACTAGTCTTCATGTTACATTTTGCACTTATGAATCTAACTGCTTCTTGATAAACTTTGTTTACACCTTGCAGGAAATGGAGTTTGCTCATTCTTTGAGGCAGAGCAAAGTGAACCTTAAGATATGCCAGGTGATTTCTTGATTCACATTCAGTTAGCAATCAAGCCACTTGGATTGACTTTAGCTTAAGACTAAATAGTTGGATTGGAGCCAATGGAAGGAAGATTGAGTTTTGGGTTTTTCAAAGGTTGATGCTCTGATGTTCTTGTCTGTGTACTATAGGAGAGGACTTCTGTCATTATTCAACCTAGTTCTTCAACAGCTAGGAGAGTCAGTTCTTTGTTTAATATATGAACTAACATTGTGGTGGACTTCCTAAACACTCACCTGGTTTGCTTGCCATTGCTTGCTTTCTTCATATATGTAAGCTTAGAAGTTAGAATTTTATTGGCTAGAGCCCAGTTATTGATTCAGATGGGCACCTTTTTGTAATTTTTATTTATTTATTTATTAGTAGGTTAAGATGGGACTATACAAGGGAAAAGCAAATCATTTTAAAATAAGTTAAGGGATTATCTGAAAGCTAAATGCCATTTTTCTCTCACTTTTCCCTTCAGTATTCTTATGAGCTTCTGCTGCAATATTTACACAAGACACAATCCATTACAATGCTTGGGGTTATTAATGAGCATATTAACTTTCAAGGTACAGCTCCCTGCTCGTTAATTGCATGTTTTTCATCATGATAATATTTTTTTTCTACTGTATCTTGGTGTTTTAGTTAATTTTTTTCTTTTTCATTGAGCTAATAATACCTCTTTGCAGTTTCGCCTGGACAACCAAGCTCAATTTCTGATGATGAAGGTGTTACACTTGTTGGGAGTGGTCAGGATGCAGCTAATCTGATAAATCAGAAAGAAATACACTGGGGGGTAAGTTACTCATATTTGTGCAGTTTTTCTTAACTGAAGATTCAAAAGAATTATAGTTTATTTATTATTTGCATAGCTGCATACAATAGGTATTAATTCTGGCATCTGCTGGATAGCATTTTTTTTTTGGATGTATTTCCCTTTCTTTTGAAAACAAAAAATGTGACTTTGTTTTTAAAATATGTTAAACCAGCAAATCTACATTGTTGTAGCTGCTGGTCAGTGGTTTTTCTGGATGTATACAATTGTTGTTATATATATATATATATATATGTATAGAAGAAATGACAAAGGCATAGAAATGAGATGTATAGAGATGACAAAGGCATAGAAATGAGAACATAGTTTGTGTTAAGGGAGAAAGATGGACACAGAGATGACTAGTTTGTATCAATCAGTGTTGATACTAATTTCAAAAACTGATGGTCATTGGTGTATCTAGAATTAAGCAATGGATAGAATGGAAGTTAGTGACTTTTGCTGTTGGCACCTATTTAGAAAGGCAAGATCTTTCAAATTGTTTGATAAATATTTGGTGTTGCAATCCTTTTGCTGTCTGTTTTGAAGGATTTTAAGGAATTTATGCAAGGTTCCTATGTCTAGTAGTTTACGGTTTCAGAAATTACTCTGCCAAGTTTGTTTTGGGTAGTTTTTGTGTATGTGATTCCCACCTTTTAGGTTGTTTTGTCTCCAATATCTATATAATTTAAAACTTCTTTTTTTTGTAGACTTTGTACTAGATTTTCTCTTTGTAATGAAGATGTCCTTATTGTTATCTAGTGTGATATAGCTTTAAAAAAAAACCTTAACCCTTTTTTTGTCTTTGTTTTGTCTTACCATTTCATTTTCAGCAGTTACTGGAAGACTCGTTAGAAGAAAGGTTGGAGAAGGCAGCAAGTTTGCTTTCTGATTTGGAGAAGGTAGACGGAGAAAGTAAGGAAGGCAACTTGGATGAGAGTAAGGTAGAAAATATGCCTTAGAGGTCTATGCTATGCGTGTCATCGATTTTTTTTGTTGCGGAATGAACCATGCACACTCACACAATAGCAAGAAGAATTAATCACAAACAAGACAAGCACCTAAGTAAACAACAATATATATGCTAACAGTATATATGCTAGGGATTACATCAGCAAATTACCGTAATGCACTTAGTACAATTCACCTTGAGGGCACAGCTCCCAAATCCTGTCCTTCAGGCAAGGGAGCACTACAGTATTAATCAGGCTTCACAAACCCAATATTTTCATCAGCATATCATAATCCTTGATTGCTGATATTTTACCAATTTTTGTAATTCTATGTTTTCTTGGCTTGACTTTGATATATTCGCATACCTATTCTGGCCAATTCACTTGCGTTTAGATACTAGTGTTTCGGTTTATTTTTTAAAATAATTTTTTTTGTTGCCATTCTCAGAAGAGAGCAGTGGAGGGAGGGAAGCAAGGTGCTTCTCTCAAAAAGTTGAAAAAGGACAAGGTGGTTGGTGCAACTGGGAAAGCTGTCCGTATTGAGACCAATACTGTGCCTGCAGCACCACGTGCAAAATCTGAGCTCACTTTGCCAGTAATGTGTTGTTCAGAATCCTTGGTTCAGATTTCCTATTTTATTTATGTATTTTTAATTACTTTCTGTGATTTTTCATTGGGATATTGGTATCTACTGATAAAAGCTGTTGGTGCATCCATATTTTGAGGACCTCTATTCACCTATTATTGAGTTTGGTACCCACAACACATTAACCTGGTTGTGCACGTGTATACTTTTGCATGTAAGCACTAGCTATTCTGCTTTAGGAGATTTCTTGTGTAGTAGGCTAATGAAATCTGCTGTATTTAATGGAAGGGACATTCTTTTGTTATAAAAAAATATAGAATTTCATCATAATGTACAACACGTTTTTTCTTTTTTTTGTTGTTGCTATTATGCCATCTATAGTGAGGGAATTTTTTCACATTGGTTTCACACGGGGCTAGGGATTAGAACTCAGTGATGTGCTTATTTAGCCAATTTTTTTGTTGCATGCTACTCAGTAGTGTTTTAATTCTTATCATCTCAGGCCAACAGAGGTTGAACATTCTATTCTTGAAGACTTACGAAACCGGGTACAGTTGAGTAGCTCTGCTTTGCCCTCAGTCAGCTTCTGTACGTTTATTAACACACATAATGGGTTTGTATTTCACCTGTTCAAATTTTTTCTATGAGTTAGTACTTCACTGCTGTTTTGGGCTTTGTTGCTGTTCTTTGTGTCAAATGTTCTAGCCTAAACTGTTCATCAATATCCCATGATGGATCATTGGTTTCTATGAGTTATTTTTTTCCCTCAATTCTTTTTTTCTTTTCCCCGTAGTCTGATAGTGGCTTAGTTGACTTGTTAATAGCACTTGTTGTTTGCTAATTTCCAAACTATTTTCCACAGGTTGGGATATGGCAAAGTTTGGACAACAAACTGGCAGTTGTAAGTGTCTTATGTTAACTTTTGTAATTCAATGTTATGGTGTTGTATTTTATTGTTTGGCGACATCTTTTGGAACAATGAAACATACTGTTCCTGCTTTACATCATAAATGTGATAAAACGTCTATCATTTTAATGAACAACTATATATAGCATGAGGCTTGTTACTTTCTATTGAGAAGCTGTTTCTGTGAACATAAGTGTACAACTCATTGCATTAAAAATCTAAGCAATTTCCCTTCCTATGTTAATGGGTAAGTTATGGCTGTACTTGCGCTGTATGATTTAATCTCTAGTCTTGTAAAACCTCAGAGAATCATGTTGTGTTCCCCACAATCTGCTTTATGAGTAGTGTTGCTCCAGCATTTCATAGCTGTAAGGCCTTGGCAATTAATCTTCAGTATTTTAAGTTTTATGGATGGCCTTTATTTATCAATATTGAGATCAGCCATGGGAATGAAACATGAATTTCTGATGTTCATTTGGAATCCTTCAGTGGTGTTGTTGTGTCTCTGTTGATCTGCTGATGAAATGATATTATTTTAGCCATTTAATATTGGCCTTGGCCAATGATTTTGTTGGCCTTTCCGCAACTTTTCATTTGCATTTTGGCAGGGTATCCACCAATGCTATGACTGACAAAAATAGTGTTAATATCATATCTATAAGATTTTGTCAACAACATAAATAAGTAACAAACTTATGAGACCACCAGATGTGTTTAACATGCAGTTTACAACAGTAACAAAGTTTGTTTATTCTGGATACAAATATGTGAAAAAAAGTTACTATCAGCATAATATGTGTTTAACATGCAGTTTACTCATGCATAACTTTGTTTGTTGTCTGATCTAAGTATAACAGACGAAAAAAGGTTTGTTGCTTATGTGGGCAGGGATCTGTTGTTGAACAATGTTACTATCAGCTATTTTGCAGAGTGAGAATGATTTTGCTACTAGTGAGCATGTACTTGGGGCAGATGGCGGGAAAAGATCTTACACTTTATTCCGAGGTCACTCTGGGCCTGTCTACTCAGCTAGTTTTAGTCCTTTTGGGGATTTTCTTCTATCCTTTTCATCAGATTCAACAAGTATGTTTCCCTTACCCGTCACGTTTCACTCTTTTCTTTTCTTTTCTTTCTTTCTCTAAAGATTTGTTTCAAAAAATTGTTTCTTTTGCTAATCAATAATGCTACAATGACCATGTTTGTATACCATATTTGGTTTACTCTGTGATGTGTCATCATTGTATTGGTAACATACATGAGTTGTGGGACCTATTCAACTAATACAATTATGACAAATGAGATGGTAAACCCAATGTGATATATAAAGATGGTCATTGTAGCATTCTCTCTGCAAATTTCATCCTAAGTGAGTTGTAGTTGCGGAACTACTGTCTTGAAAGATAACTCTGCTCTATTGCAGTTCGATTGTGGAGCACAAAACTAAATGCAAATCTTGTTTGCTACAAGGGTCATAATTATCCTGTATGGGATGTTCAGGTGGAGAATCTTTGATCTCTAATTTTTCATGATTATGTTATATATGTGATAGATAGGGAATGCAAAGGATTTGGATAAAGATATAATTGAAGATTTTGTATTTTTATTTTTAATTTAATCAGGATTTTATTTCTTAGGATTTGTTTACTTTATGGGATTTTATTAGTTTAGTTAGCCTATATATATGACTTCGGTGTAATGAACTAATCAGATTTTGAGCTTTCCCAATGTTTACAAAATGACTCCAACCTTCACGCTTCTAATATATTGTAGTCCCCGTAAATCAAATGTTTGCCAATTGAGCAAGGTCATCATACATAATAATTTCAGCAAATCTCCGAAGAGGTCAATGATTTTCTAAATCACCAGGGAGATGAGCATATCTGATGTCTCTGACTACATAATTAAGATATTTATTTTGTCTCACTTTCATGGACTTGGAGGTTTTATAATGCTTAATATGATAGTCTGTTGGAGAATAGCTATACACGCCTTTACAAGTTTGTTTGAATTATGAAAAAAATCACTTGTATTAGAAGATTATGTATGCCTCTTATTTAAGGCATAAAAGAGCTCTAAATGCACCTTCAAGGTAGAAACTGTTGAACTTGTGGTGTGCTAATTGATATGTTAATCTCCTTTGTTTATCTTCTTCTTCTTCAATTTTTTTTTGTTGTTGTTGTTGATTGAACTGCAAGTAATTTTGAGACATCTTCCAATTTACAGATAATGGTGCATATAGGATAAAAAATCTTTTGTAGCCACCCTCAATAGCCAATAGTTAATCACCATAAGTTCTTTGTTAACTTTATTGTTATCAACTAATTTATGTCATATTTATGTTTTAATTAATACATATGTGGATGCATGCATGTTGGCGTACATGCACATATGCACATGCTTATGATATATGCTGATGTCTTATGTTTTCTAATGCTATCTTAATGCAGTTTAGTCCATTAGGACATTATTTTGCTAGTGCTTCACATGATCGAACGGCAAGGGTTTGGTCTGTGGACAGAATACAGCCTTTAAGGATAATGGCGGGGCACTTATCTGACGTGGATGTGAGTAGTTTATCTCTGCCTCTCTCTCTCTCCCACACACAGACAAACACACACACACAATCTCAATCTCAATGTTATCTATATAATTTTTCCATCAAAAGTGATGTGATTTAAGTGCCTTCCGGCATAGCCTACAAATCGTTGTTAGTCTACTGAGTGCCACATTATCGAAACCAAGTAAAATTTATTGGAAAATCTCTGCTTTTGTCTAATGAATTATTAACCAGGTGAATTACCGCCCTAAAAAGAAGTTTTGGAACTTTTCTTTTTCTAGGGTGAACAGTGAACTCAGTTGTGGTGAAGAGCTATAGTTTTTTTTGGTTGTTTCTTTGCTTTGTGTATACCTCTTACTGTACCTGGTGTGACATCCTCTTTGGCGTCTTTCTAGAAAGTGCTTTTATCTTATTGAAAACAAATTTAATCCTAATGAAATGATTTATAATGTTGCATTTCTTTTCAGTGTGTAAGGTGGCATTCAAACTGCAATTACATTGCTACAGGATATAGTGACAAAACAGTTAGATTATGGGATGTACAGAGTGGGGAGTGTGTTAGAATTTTCATTGGTCACAGGAGTGTGGTTTTATCTTCGGCAATGTCACCTGATGGCCGGTACATGGCATCTGGTGATGAAGTTGGCACAATTATGATGTGGGATCTCTCAAGTGGTCGTTGTGTCACGCCTTTGGTGGGTCACACCTCCTGTGTCTAGACTCTCGCTTTCAGGTGAAAATCCTTTTTCTCTAGATGAGACCCATAAAAAACTATTGGGTAAATTACACTTTTCATCCCTATAGTTTGATCCAAATTTCACTTCGGTCCCTATTGAACAATTTGGTACCTGCACTTTAAGTCTAGTTTTATTTTGTTCAATAGGGACCGAAGTGAAATTTGGATCAAACTATAGGGATGAAAAGTGTAATTTACCCAATAGTTTTTTATGGGTCTCATCTAGAGAAAAAGGATTTTCACCTGAAAGCGAGAGTCCAGACACAGGAGGTGTGACCCACCAAAGGCGTGACACAACGACCACTTGAGAGATCCCACATCATAATTGTGCCAACTTCATCACCAGATGCCATGTACCGGCCATCAGGTGACATTGCCGAAGATAAAACCACACTCCTGTGACCAATGAAAATTCTAACACACTCCCCACTCTGTACATCCCATAATCTAACTGTTTTGTCACTATATCCTGTAGCAATGTAATTGCAGTTTGAATGCCACCTTACACACTGAAAAGAAATGCAACATTATAAATCATTTCATTAGGATTAAATTTGTTTTCAATAAGATAAAAGCACTTTTTAGAAAGACGCCAAAGAGGATGTCACACCAGGTACAGTAAGAGGTATACACAAAGCAAAGAAACAACCAAAAAAAACTATAGCTCCTCACCACAACTGAGTTCATTGTTCACCCTAGAAAAAGAAAAGTTCCAAAACTTCTTTTTAGGGCGGTAATTCACCTGGTTAATAATTCATTAGACAAAAGCAGAGATTTTCCAATAAATTTTACTTGGTTTCGATAATGTGGCACTCAGTAGACTAACAACGATTTGTAGGCTATGCTGGAAGGCACTTAAATCACATCACTTTTGATGGAAAAATTATATAGATAACATTGAGATTGAGATTGTGTGTGTGTGTTTGTCTGTGTGTGGGAGAGAGAGAGAGGCAGAGATAAACTACTCACATCCACGTCAGATAAGTGCCCCGCCATTATCCTTAAAGGCTGTATTCTGTCCACAGACCAAACCCTTGCCGTTCGATCATGTGAAGCACTAGCAAAATAATGTCCTAATGGACTAAACTGCATTAAGATAGCATTAGAAAACATAAGACATCAGCATATATCATAAGCATGTGCATATGTGCATGTACGCCAACATGCATGCATCCACATATGTATTAATTAAAACATAAATATGACATAAATTAGTAGATAACAATAAAGTTAACAAAGAACTTATGGTGATTAACTATTGACTATTGAGGGTGGCTACAAAAGATTTTTAATCCTATATGCACCAAGGTGTTTCCAGCCACTGGCCGACCACTTTTTGTTGCTGCAGACCAGAAAAAGTGGTCAGCCAGCTAGTTTTTCTGGCTGGCCAGCCAGTTTTTGCTGCACTTCTCCAGATTGCTGCAACGGAGAGCAAGAAAGGGCATGTCAATGTATTTGCAAGATATGTATGCACAACCACTCTCCCTATCATTTCATAAGCTCAATGGAGTATGGTTCTCGACCCTCGGGCCACCAATCACGCATCTCGATGCATGATGGCCGAGAAGCCAAATTGCATAATTCAACGTAAAATGAATGCACACATAAACACATAAGGCCTAAAACTCTATCATGCTTGATCAAAAGCGTCGGCGACCGAGAATTGAGGCACGTTTCATCACTTTAAGTATGAAACGTCTCTCGTTTCTCGTGTTTGGACTAACACCTAATCCAAACAAAATGCAACAACATGCAACATGAAAATGCAATGTAATTTAAGCATGCAAACATGCAATGCAAGGGACAAGTATGCAACAACGTGCAATGCAATATGGCGTACTCGATGCAATGAATAACATGGCATACTTAATGCAATGTGATTATGGCATACACAATGCGAACAAGAACATAGCATGCATAATGCAAACAACAACATAACATGCACAATGCGATGTAACATGGCATACACAATGCTCAATGGACTTAAACCGAATGTGGGTAAACCTTAGCCATGCCCAAAACAGTGGCCATAATGCTAAAACAAAGGCACAAAAAGGCAAGACATGCATGCTCAATGCAATGGCCTATCAACTAGGCCTAAGAACACAACTCTCAAGCATGATGGAGAAGCAATAAACATGGAAGTGTGACAACACTAAAGGTTTTGAAATCAAGTGTGAAATGATGTCAAATCATTCAAGCAACACAAGTAAAGCATGCAAGAGGGCCTAAGGCACAAGGCCATTAAGAGGACTACACAAGGGGCGTGCAATACATGGCACAAATGATTGAATCAATCATGGACAAAGCTTAATTAGGTCTAAACAAAGATCAAAACATGCTGAGATGGGGGCTCAAGGACCTAGGCAAGATGGCATGCATGTTAGGCCACAAATGAGGTAACAATGCACAACTCTTAAACCACAATTAGAGAGTGATATGCATGAGAATATGACAATGTTACATGCTCTGAAATCAAGTATTAAATGATGCCAAATCATCCAAATAGCTCAAAGATAGCATGCATGAGGCATCAAAACACAAGGTTAGTGAGGCCAATTGCACTACAACTATGCAAAACATGAAGCATACGGCCTTGAGTCTAAAATAGTCCTAGAACATGCCAAAATGAGTCTAAAACATGTATGGAAGGAAGCCAAAATAAGCTAACATGAAGGGCCAAAACAACAAGCATGCAAGGCCAACGAGGAGGATTACACTACACCTACCAAGACCAAGCATGGGATGGCTTCGCCAACAAAAATCAGAATTATATCATGGCAAAATAACCCCAAATAAACACTGAAATGATAGCTCACAAGCTTAGGCATGAAGGCATACACAATGACCCATGTTTAAGGCATAAAGGGTAAACCCTCCAACGCATTGAATAAGTAAAAGATGTGAATGCATGAACATGAAACATGCACTGAAATCTCATAATAAATGATGCCAAATCATTCAAATAGGCCAAGCAATACATGCTAGTGGACTTGATACACAAAGCTAACAAGCTAGAATGCACTATAGCTATACAAAGCATGGCATGCATGACCAAAACAACACAAATCAGAGCTAGAGCATGCTAAAACATGGACGAAAGCTTCTTAGAGTTAAGCCAAAACATGCTAGAATAACAGTCTAAACACATGATGCATGTTAGGCTAATTCATGGAATTGCACTACAAGTGCATGGAGCATGCATGGAGCTATCAAACCAAACCTTAACAAAGGTATATCATGGTAAAATAACACCAAGAACATGCTGAGATAGACTCAAAACAAGCTAGAAAGACATGTTACTTCATGAAGCACACAAGACTAGTTTGTGAGGATTACACTACAAGTGTATTATGCATGCAAGGGATGACAAAACCAAGTCAAAACAGTGGTGTGCCATGCTGAAATAAGGCCTAAAATAGGCTAAGATGTGGCCAACACAAGCTTAACAAACATACTCAAACATGAGGCATTCAAAGCAAGTATTGAAGAAACAAGGAGAGGGGATGACCCTCTCCTATTTGGGACGTCAAAACACCATTTCCACCACTAAAATTCCTCTGGAATTCAATGGTAGAAAGGTCATGCAAAGGCTAAAACAAGAGCCAAAAGGAATAGCTCAAAGCAAGGCCTAACAAGGCCTAAGAGGGGGTAGACCACTCCCAACACAAAAGTGATCTTAAACAAAGATTTTAAGCATGCAAAAATAGAACTGTTTGTAGTTTAAAGTTAAGCCAAAAACAGCATGCAAATAGGTCCAAAAGCTTAAGCAAAACAAGGGTTTAAAGGGCTAGTTTCTCACCCTTGAAGAACACCTTCAAAGCTGCAACTCCAGCAACTTCTTTAAGCTCAAACCAGTCCAAAAACTCCAAAACAAACCTTAAGATGCCTCAGCAACAAAAGGATGGTGTTTGAGTGTGTGTTTGTGTGTTAAAGTGTGATAAAAAGGCACTTTTGAACACAAAAATGAAAAACAAGAGCAATATAGATACAAAGGCGTATATGTATAACTCAAGCACTCCAAACTCTGAACCTGGAGGAGGGGGGAGGTCCTCCTTTATAGAGAACAAAAGTGTAAGCTTGTTGGACAAGCTTAGGGTCCAAGGCCATCCCTCCATACACGTGTATGGAGGATGGTTTTAGTGCCTTCCAACTGTGACAGCTGATGAAAATATCTCCAAAAAGGTGATGAAAAGCAGAGTGGTCGGCCAGGTACTTGAAATGGTCAGCCGACCACCACAAGTGGTCTCCCAAGAAGAAAACTGGTCGGCTAAGGGTGAGAGATGTCTACACACTGAAAGCAAGCCAATGGTGTGGTGGCCGACCAAAAAAGGTGGTCCAAAGACCAAGAACACCAATTGGCCGACCAGAAAACTGGCTGGCAGGAAGAAAAGTGGTCTCCAAGGGGAAGAACTGATCTCCCACCCTTGTACCACCTTCCAAACAAGGGAAACAAGGTTTGTACCAAAAACAAACCAAAAAGGATACAAAACGAAAGTTCGGGAGACAAAGCGCGCAGCCAGGAGCCTTGAAAACTAGTCTACTGGCACCAAAAGTGGTCTCCTGGACCACAGTGTCCCTCTAGGCAGAGGCAACAAGGCATGGTTCAAAAACCAAGCCAAACGGAGAACGTTATGCAGTCCCAAGACAAGGCGCTCAACCGAAGGCTCTGAAAACCGAAAATTAGTCTCCAAGCAGGAGAAACGGTCTACGACCATGAAAAGTGGCCTACGACCACAAAGATGATGGTCTACAAGACCACCCCCTCTCTCCAAGGAAGGGAAACAAGGCTTGGTCCGCAAATCGAGCCGAAGCACAAAGAGTTCAGAGGCCCGGAGGCGAGGCTCTCAACAAAAACTCCGGAAACTCGAAACGAGCACAACATGCGCAATCACCGAGCGCTCAATCGATGACGTTTGAGTCTTAAGGTCGGTAAAAAATGGAGTGTCTACACTTACCCAAAATTGACCAGTTGGTAGAAGCTACATCTGGGCACGAAAGAATGAGCTTTCTAGATACATATGGAGGATATCTGATTGAAACTTAAATTTTACACACTTGGCCCGTTAACATACACTTTATTAGTCCATTTATTTGTATTATTATATAATTTTGTATAATATTATGTTTTTTTTTATATGTTTTCAATATTTATATATAAATTGTTGTATATATTATATTATATTATTTTAATAATATTACATAAATAATAAATATAATAAAATAAATAAATAAGTAAAACCTATCTGCGGCGAAATTTCACGTGCAATCCATATGTATACATTATATCATACAAATTATTGTAATAATAAAAAGCAAATAAAAAATAAAAGAAAAATAAGATAAAATAAAATAAAAACAAAAGCAATTAATGGGAGAGATAACACAACAATGATAGGTGGCCCGAAAAATTATGGCTTAAACAATGTCAATCTCTTTCTCTCTATATATTATAATATTATAATATTTATTTTATTTTTTTGTTGAAGTCTATAAAAGGCGGGCAAAGTTAAGCAAAAAAAGAGTAAGAGAGCAAAGCTCGAGAGTTTCAGCAAGGAGCAGGATACAGAGAGATAAATCAAAAAGTGTCTCTTCTGTATGTTAGAGTAGAGTGTTCACAATTATGTAGAACTAATATTCTCTTCTTACTGTAGAAATGAAACCCTGACCAAGTAATTGGGATTTGTATTGTATTTAGTATTTTTAGTTTTGATTTGATTTGAATAAATTATATAACTTTCAGATATTTTTGTGCAATAAATGTTTTATTCAAATTATGTTATACAATTATTTTTACTGTTGTGTATTAAAATTGTTAAACGAGTCATACCTAGTAAGACGAGTCGTGCATTAACCATAGTTTAGCGTAATATAATGGTGACGATCTGTACTAAGCAAAAATGATTCGTGGCTTTCGAGTTTTAATATACAAATCCTCTTAACGATATATTTTTGATTAACTTACATCACAATTTCCAAATTAATGATTTTCTAAAAACTAATACAATAACCCATGATTATAAGGTTAATGGTGAATTCAAAACCCTGAGATATTTTTTTATTTTATGTTTTATTTTAGTTTTATTATTTTCAAAATCAATCTTTTTAAATTACTTTAATTATTATTTCTGAAACAAAATAACTCGATTAGTCCCTGAGGATCGACACCTAATCTTAACCGCTATACTTCGGAGTAGTAGTTATTACTTGGTTTTAAATATAATATTTTGGGGCATAAAGGATCACATCAATATTAT